GTGTATTAAATAATGTTGAAGTTAACCCAAATAATCTGTAGGAAGAAGTTTCATGTTGGGAATAAGATAGTCTTCCAGTAGGCAAATCACAGTATTTACAAGATTGTGTCTTCATTGATGCAAAACCATTAGAAATTCAATGTCATTCCTTTCAGATACTCTTGGGAGAGCATTATCTTTCTATATTGCAGATTGGTCCTGTATCTTAATCCTTAATCACTTTTTACTGGGCAACAAATGCTCTGAACAATGAACTACTCTCACATATACATGGTATTCCTACTAGGCAATCTGAAAAGCAAGTGTCTACGTTAACTGCCAGTTCCCTTAAAGCTGATGTTCCCCTCCTAAACAAACCTTCTCTAATGGACTTGATCTTTTAATTACAGTTTTTCACTTAATAGTTTTTATCTTGTTTATGAACATTTGGCAAAGTGTTATCTAGTGAAGAGTGGAGCTGCTTTAGAAATGTAATAACTAAATAAAAACTCTCTGGCTTACTAAAAAATCGAAGTCTTTGTGAAACTGTAAGTAAATACATTTTGCGTGCAGAAAAGAATGAGAAATTGCACAGCCTGACCTCAAAAAACTTAATTGTTTCACTAAGAAGAAATGGGCTCATTTGGTGCATTGGTTCAATTTCATGATATTATCAAGATTGTAGAATTATGACATTCTCCATCAAATATGGCATGCCAGAAAGAATTACTTTCAAAGTCTGGAACTATGTACAAACAGGGTCTTTCTGCCTTCACAACCAAAAATGTAAGTGGCATGAACATTCAACAGAGAGCAAGCTGCACTTAGCCTGTATATTTATTGCCAAACCAGCTATCAGTAATGTTAATAGGCATTTAGCATTCTCACACTGCAGGGAAATTAAAAAAAGTGTGTGGGGGGGAACTGGTTTAATGCAATTGGTGAGTGTCTTTCTACTGGCTTCCTAGAGCACGGAGACTGGGCATATCCTTGATGGTGCTCATTTCATCCTCTCTTTGAAAATAATGAAAGTGAAAGATCTAAGTTGCAGTTTAATTGTTACGTCTTCCTGAGGGTTTGACTGCTGTGCACTGTTTGTGAGCTGTTTTCTTTCCGTTCCTCACTCCTGTTTGTCAGCTATTTGTATTCTGGAGCCATGGGATTTGTCTTAACATACTTCATTAGTTAGCCCTGTGCATCTCTTTCCGCCTATTTGGAAAAAATATCTTCATGTTGTTTAACTGGATGAAGCTGTTTGATTTTGAAGAAGTCAAACTTAGACTCAGATGAAGAATGTTTACTTCCAAATATGGCTCAGTTTTAAAAGAGAGGTACTTAAAGGAGTAGAAAAGATCAAGCCCTATTAACCCATCTTAACATTTACAAGCAATCAGTATCTCTTCTTTAAATACTTCTAAAATGCTCTGTCTTACAATATACAGCAAATTATCCCCTTTCACTGCCTCCTGTATTTGCATTGTATAAATGAAAAAATATTTTGGAAAGAAATTTGGCTAGAAAGGAAGAACTGAGGTCTTCATTGGGTCAAAGGTCAAGTTTTTTCTATTTACGTTCAGTTCAAAGTGCTGTTTCTGTACCATGTGTGACACATTTGAAAGGAAAACTGCAAGTATGTATTTGTATCTCTACTGTTAACCACAAGTGATGTTTATTGACAGGTGGGTATAATATGGATGATTGTGTTAGATCTTCTCTAAGTGGGTATATTTAAAGCGTAAGTTGTGTTAATGCTTTGACTAGCCAGCCAGAGCAAAGATGGTGATGGTGGTTTTATAGGTGAGGAGAGACATTCATCTGGTCAGAACAGTAAGTAGCCATCTGGCTTCTGAGTCACTGCCTCCTCCTTTACAATTTATTTTCTTTTCTGGCTTAGTAGCTTTTACTATTCCATCTGGGTGGGTTTTCACAGCTAATAGTAGTTTTCTGGCAAAGATACTATTTTTGTAAAGGGTTTTTTTGTTGTTGGGGTTTTTTTCCTCCTCTAAATTCTAGAGAGCTGAGAAAAGTCCCTCTGGGGAAAAAAAAAAAAAACCACAACAGTGCTAGTTCAGGTGTATGCAGGGACTGTCTCCTTGCTTTCAGAGTGTAGAACATATATAGTTCAGGCTTTTTGTAAAAGTTTTTCTTCAGGGTGAGACAGTACAAGTAATAGCCAGACCACCTGCTGCCTGTGATAGTTATGACTACAAAATGGGGTAGAGAGGTGATATTTGCTGCATGAAAAAAAGAAAAAAATAGTTAGTATGTGGTTATTAGTTAGCACTAACAGTTAGTAAAATACCACTATAGTAGGAAACCTAGTATTGGACTTTTGGAGAGGGTTTGGGGTGGGTGGGTGTGTGTTTGGGGGGAGGTTGGGTTTTTTTCTTTGGTTTGGTTTTACTAGAGCTGTTAATATTTGTGGATTTGCTACCACCACATTCAAGTTCTTATGTGTCGGGGACTTTGTGAGGCCTTACTAGTATATGAGGAACGAGTTTCTGCAGCAGGTTATTCCTCAGTTGCATGTGTAGCAGAGTTTTTAGTTGTGTCTTACAGCATTGGATGTGCTTAATTCAGCACTGTTGAAATTTGGAATTTGCATGGAAATTGTGCAGGAGTCCAGCTCCAGTCAGCACAGGCCTTGTAGACCTTATTTCATTTTTAAGTAATCCAACACAGTGAACCAGTGTTAGTTCAGGCGATCAGCGGTGGGCTCATTCTGTTTTCTTTCATTTTTAACATTGATTATCATGTTTCATTATTGATTCTTCCATCTTTTCAGACACATCTGTCTGAATAAACACTATTAATCTATGTTGTGCTGTTAATTTAGGTCTGATGAGTAACAGGAAGAATTAAATAGCATGGATATTTTTGTGCTATTTTGTTCTAAGCACAGTTGCAGAGCCCAGAGCCTAGAGAATTATATAGCATACTACATCGGTATAGAGAGAGTTTTCAACTAGGGAACATTTTCCTCACACTGTCATGGATTTGGAAGCTCTGGACTGGGTGTGCTTCCTTGGCACCTAACACAAGGCAGGTGTTTTCTACCTGTGCAGCTATTTATTATTAGATAATGGAACCTGGATAGTATTTAACTTTAAACTATTGTTTTTTCAGTAAAACAATGGCTAGCCTTCCCTGGCTCTGTCCTCTGTGTTTTCACCAGCTGTCAATGCACAGATATTACCAATGTTACATATATAGACAGAGAACTTTCTGCATTACCAGAAAGAGCCTTTTTTGTAGAAAAGATCTTCACAGGCAGCTTACATAACCTTTGCCGGGATGAGTTAAGAATGAAATGCGACTGTTGACATAGTTTCTGTATGGGTTCTGATGATCACGTAATCAAGAAGCAATTCTGAGGTGATGGGTGAAGTCATAAATGCAGAAAAAGATTGGTCTTCCGCTGTTAAAAGGATATCTTTTCAACACTGCTGTTGAAAATACTGAAATAATGCTGATACTGAGACAAGTCATGAATTGACTTCTTCAGACTGATATGCACTTCACTTTTCCAAATTTATGAGCAGTCTAGCCCCCACACGTAGTGACTGTACTTGGGTGCCCAGCTGGTGCATTTTAAATTAGCAGTCATTATACTACTGAGTCACTTTAGATTGCGATCTGAAATGCACTAATGCTTTGTATGATTCACCTGCAGAAGGTTCTTCTAGCTTGATCCATATGTTTCCATCCTGCTGGTTAATGCTTATTTCATTCTTTCTCCTAGTTGCTAAAGAAATTAATTGTATTCAGTTTCTTGTGATCTTTTTGTATGGATGCGAGTGCTGTTTAGTACAATGGATCTACGTAGGAGTATTTTTTTTTTTTTTTTTTTAACAAAAGTAGCATTTTTGTCCTGCATTTGCATTGAAATAGATTCAGTTGCTACAAAGCTTAGATGCCAAATTTGGCCATAATCCACTAAGGTAGTTCTCTTCCTGAAGTGTCTGCATTCCTTTTTAAAATCAAATATATAAATATAAACAGATAATTGCACATGGGGTAGGAAAGGACTGTGTTTTATTTGGGGAAAGTGAAATCAACTGGTTTCCAATTCCTTTTACACTTTATTTCTCTGTAGCTGTGGTACAAGCAAGAGCCAACCAGTAACATCTGCAAGCAGTAGGAAATCTCCATGCTAGTCCTTACCCTCGGCACGTGGTAAAGTTGCAACTGAGCCTTGTGAGGAGGAATTAACAAGAAAAATCTAATTCGTGTTCAAAGGTAAACTTTGCCCAACTATGAATAGCAAGCATTAAAGTGAAACATATGCTTTTACTTACATTGTGTATCATTTAACTTCATCCTGTTTTCTTTGCTTTGCACTATTTCTGCAGCAGTGCAGGCAGGGTATAAGTACAGAGGTATCTTTAGCGTAACTGTGTTTTGAATGCCAGCTGTCTTAATAGCTCATCTACCACCAACTACTCTTGAAATGCCTGCTTTAATTTTTATTTGATGTTTGTAGAGAACATTGCCTAGAAGGATGGGTTTCACTTTTTCAGGAACAAAAATGTAGGTACAAAATGCAGTAGGGCAGATGTATTTTGTTAGCCATGGATTTGGTAAGAAAAAACCCCATGCCAGACATTGGGTCAAATGTCACTTGAGTCAAAACCTGATCTGCTTCCTAATGGGTCCCTTTGTGGTTGTGCCACCAAGAGAAGTACCCTGGTACACAGGCTGTTTACAAACACAGTAAAAACTGTACAGTAGCTACAGTATTGGTCATCAAAAAATGACCATACAACAAAATAAAATAATAAATTACTGTAATACCAGCTCCTTTTCTGCTCTTCCTTTTAAAATCAATCTTCTAATCTCCTGTGGTGTAAGAGAGGTGCCACGAGCTTGGCTGCTGGGCTCAGCTGTGCCCTGCCATGGGTTGTTGCCGATCACTCCTTTCTTCTCTTGTCAATTAATCAGCTCATGTATGGGAACCAGGAATTCTCAGTTGGTGCAATATTGTCGACCATATACCTTCACAGTAGCAATCAACACCTGCTGTTCTTCAGCACACACCTTACAACAGAAGGATCCTCTGAGAGGCTGGAAAAGGTAGACAGCACAAGGTAGACACAGGCCCACTGGTTTGAGGAGGAAGACAGATTCTCCTTGAACTGCCAGAGCTGGCAGGCCAGTCTATACACAGTTGGTACCTTGATGTCTGTCCAGTCCATTATCGCCAGGGTGCCGACATATGGTGTCGCTGTGTTCCATACAAACTTATGCCATGTGGACCACATGCCTTGGATATTGTCCAGATCTTTGGAGGACTGGTTGTTGTCCAGGTTGCTGTAAATTACCTCCACCACCACCAATTCCCTCAGATACTTGATACCTTTCTCAGTGGTCATCCGCTTGCCTTAGTAGCTTGCACACTTTCCTTGAGGAGGATACCTTGTCTTCACACTCAGCAGGGACTGCCTCCAGAGGCTGTCGATAGTTGTCCCTTTTCCAGTCGCTTTGCTGATTCCCTGGCCCTTAGCTAGGGATCCCATCTGCTGGGCTTACTTACCCTCTAATTTCTGACCATGGGCCTCAGTAACCCTGTGGGAGAGCAAACAGGTGAAAATTTGCTCACCTATGACAACTGTAATTTTCTGCATAATGCAAGCATTCTGGTTGCATAGGGATGTTTGAGAAACTGAAGAGCCATTGCAACAAGGCAGGAAACATCTACCCTGGAGGAGAAGGAGGAGGTGCCATTCTTAATTTCCCTAC